TTTTTTTTTTTTTAAAAAAAAAAAAAAAATGATCACAAAATAAATTATTTCTAAGTTCAAGAATTAACAATAGAACGAATAACATTTTTCTAGATAATAACTGCAAATGTATTCATTAGTGAAACATTTAACTACAGATATGTGGAACAGTTTCAAATGCAAAGCACGAAATCATACATATGGTCGATAAATATGGATATCAATCGTACATACACAAAGGTCATTGTGATCAAAAAACATGTTAATCTTGATTGGAGTTCCTATTTAATATCAAAGACTTCAATTTTATGGATATTCATAATACATGTGATATACTTATTGCTGCGGTAATAATCCCACGCGTTAAACACAACATTCCATCTTCATATAATAATACACGAATAAATTACATTACAGTTTAGTGCAAGATACAAGAAATTTGCTAATTAATTAATTATACCTAATTAAAAAAAAAATAAAATAAATAAAAAAGAAATATTAAAAGGAAAACATTTAAATTCGGTCTTCTAAAATAATTTAAAAGTTTAATTATAAAAATCATGCAACGGTTTATATGCTCATATGATATGATTCTCAATACATTCTTTAAGGGTCTATAACAATCTTAAATCATTAAGCATTATGTTATCCTTTGATATCTATTTATAGATACAATGTTTGATCGACCTACATAGTACATAAGTCCCTAGTCATCCTAAATTGGCTTAAAAAATATCTCCCACATTGTTAAACTTTTTAATTGAAAGACGAAACGATTTTTGAATGAAAATTTCTCCTCATTGAACTTTCTTTGGTAAAACCTCTATTATTTTTTTGTCAAAAAAAAGAGAACATGAATGATAATTTATAATAACAAATTCAATTTTAATGTAACTTTGAAAATGCACCTAATTAAATCTAAAACTATGTGTAACGTCATTATGTAATGTTTGCTAGTATTTTTATACCGTATGTATGTTGAAGGAATAAAAAAAGTAATTACCTAAAATTTTCTTAAAAATATCTTTTTTTTTTTAATTTTAAACGGTATTTGTTTATTGAAAAAAAAAACATAAACCTTTATGTAACACAATCGGTAACAATTTATAAACTCTTAGTAAATTTAATTCATTGGTCTGATAATACGTTATGACCCATACAAGTAATATAACCATGCAAATCCAGTTATTTCGCAATTATTTTAATTTAAATAAAAGAAAATTTTCTGCAATGATATTCATGCTTGTTACTTTTATGATAAACTTCAATAATTTTTGTGCAACTAATCGAAGATTTTATTTATTAAAAGCAAAAAAAAAACAAAAAATTTTTTTTTTTTCTTCTTTGCCCAATTCAACGCGCCAGGTTTCATTTGATGATACTCACGAGGTAAATAAAAAAAAAATATATTAATATATTTCTATGATATTTTTTTTTCTTAAGCCTTACCAAAAAAATTAAATAAATAAAAATTTTTTTTTTTTTCTTCTTCTTTTTCTTATGTAGAAATTCCTCCATCAAATTCCTTGGTATGTATTACTGAATTTTTTTTTTTTTTTTTAATGTCTCATTGCATAGCATACATCTTACATCCTTTAACTAAATTACGGTTTATTTATTATCTTTTTTTAGCTTATAGCATTTAAAATTAAAAAATTATTTTATTTGAAATGACACCATCAATAATAAATGAAATACATAAAGAACCTGATCGTATGTCTAGCACAAGGTCCTCTTCATTACCAGAAAATATGCTTAATATAAGGTCATCTTCATTACCAAAAAATTTACCAAACACAATGTCATTACCAGCAAATTTACTTAACACAAATTCAACTCCATTACCGACAAATTTCCCTAATAAAAGGTCTGCTTCTTTACCATCGATTTTACCTAATTCTTCATCTTTATCATCTTTCATTAATAATGAAAGAAGTAATAATAATGATGAAATTATAATTAGTTCTATAAAAGAAAAAAATTCTCGTAGATATGCTACATACGATCTTAATTGGATTAATACGGATGATCATATTGACCTCGAAAATTCTGTAAATCCTATAATAATACCTACTTCATCTACTTCTTTAATACAAGAAGATTTTTTCCCTTCCTCTCCGCCAATAATATCATCACCAATATCACCGATTGTTGAAATAAATAATGATTATGACTATTCTGATAATGAAGAAAAATATTCATTTCCTGGAGGAATTACTGTAACAACTGTTAAAGTGGTTCAAATTGATGAACGTACTTCATTAAATCGTTCTTCTAAAATTCCTTTGCCCAAAAATAAAATTATTTATAAGAATGAAATAAATAATACTTATAATATATTTAAAAATCAAATAACTATAAAAAAACAAAAAAAATCGACAACTGATAATAATAATAATAATAATAATAATATATTATCACAAACTATAAAAGAAAGAAGAAAAACTAGAATATATAATAATGTTGAACAGGATAATATTGCTCAATTTAAGATTTTAAATAATCATAATGAACGAAAATTTAATAATGTAGTAAGAAGATCATCTTCAAGACGTAAATTAGGTGTTCAATATAAGAAATCATATAAAAAACGTCAATTTCAATCACAAGAAAGAATGATACCTGCTCCTACTTCAAATCCTTTCTATACAAATGATCCAACAGATATGGAAGGTGATGACGTTATACTAAGTCCAACAACAAAAGGATTTCCATGGTTACCAGTTCCTAATGGTCCACCAAAATTACTTCATGCGTCACTTGTTCCTTTAAGTCAATTTATTAAAAATATAGAAACTACTACTACATCTGATGTTCCACATTCTAAATCGAAACGAAAGTCTGTTGAATCAATGTCAGCTCCTAAACCTAAAAGACCATCACAATTATTTAGACAAAACTTATTAGAACAAAGTATTGCTTTATCATTTAATGAAATGGCGATGAGAAGTTTTGCTTCTCAACCTACTCAAATTACTCAAATTGCAAAGTCTACTCAATCTGTACAATCTTTACATAAGTCAAAACGAAAGACAGTAGAATCAATTTCAGCTCCTAAACCTAAAAGACCATCACAATTATTTAGAGAAAATTTATTAGAACAAAGTGTTGCCATGTCATTTAATGAAAAAGCAATGGGTAGAAATGTTTTAACTTCTCGATCTACGCAATCTACACAATCTACGCGATCTACACGAAAATTAGACGTAGAACAAATAGAATCAATTTCAGAACCTCAACCTAAAAGACCATCACAATTATTTAGAGAAAATTTATTAGAACAAAGTGTCGCTATGTCACTTGATGAAGTAATAATGGGAAGAAATGTTTTTGCTACAAATAGACAATCTCTTAACTCTAAAATACCCAGACGTAGATTTTCGAGGAGAGGAAGTAATGCTAAATTTAGAAATGAAAAATCTGAGAAAAATAAAAAAGGGAAAAATAAAAAAGATGATGGCAGTAATCAAAGAGAACAGATAAAACAAGAAACGATAAATCCGATGGTGATTTCAAATATATTAGAAGCTGATGAGTTGAAAACAAAGGTTGAAGAGCAACTTCGTAAAAGAGCGGTTCTACAATCTCCTCAACCACCTCCAAGACGTCTTACACCATCAACGTCAACGACTGATTCACGAAGAGAAGTAATTGTACGGAGACGATCAAAAAGTACGAAACTTGAAAAACGTTTAATTAAACCTGAACCATCATCATATAGGGATAGTGTTCAACCATTCCCAAACCATTTAGCTAAACGTAATAAATCTATGCGATGGCATTAACACTTTTTTTATCAAAATAATTCATAAAAAAAGAACAATTGGACAATTAATATATTGTAAATTCTTGTTTATATTATATGTTTTTGTAGTAGTTTTTATTATTTCATTATATTTTATTTCATTTCATAATTTTATCTCTAATATTGAACAATTTTTTTTTTTATAAATATTTTCTTTTCTTCCCTATCCTATTTTTTTTCCTTCTTTTTTTAGTTAATATTTTTGGGTATTATTTGTTTCATGTCTTTTTCTGGATGTATATTTTTCGCGTTACTTTCTTTTTTTTGGCCGAATTTCTGTAGAAAAAATTACATGACCTGACGCAGAAGTGAACGATAATGGCTAATAATGCCACCAAAAAAAAAACAATGAAAAAAAAAAAATCAATTTTATATAAAGTAATATTGCTAAAATGCTTTTATTGATCTTGTCATACTTATTGATTAATTATAATGACTTGCATTTATTTATTCATCCTGACATCTTTTGGATTCATCAGAAACTCGTAATTTAAATAACCTTTTGATTACTAATTTACAGTAAACCAGTAGACCGAAGTCACAGGTTAGGACAAAATTTAAGATTCTTAACCGACATACAATTTATACTTGAGACTAGGGCGAATTATAATTAGGTCATGTCGAAATATTACGCATTAGTATTTACTATTTAGTATGGTGTCACCATTTTAATTTAAATATTTAAATTAAAATCTGTTATTAATATAATATATTTCATCCGGCTACCTACATATACCCGAATTTCGAACGATTTTAACATATCATGTAACTATGCGGGTATGTTAACGAAATTTCAAATGATAAATACACAGTAAAATTCGATATACTGGACTCATCCTTTCCAATAATAAAATTTTTCAAAAATCCGGTATATTGAAAAGTCCAGTATATCGAGAACAAATTTATTATAGATTATAATAATCCGTTCCGTACCTTAATTCCGAAATTTTACTTATGATTCGGTTTATCGAAAATCCGGTTTATCGAATTTCACCGTATAAAATAATGTATGTTTATCGTGACTTTTGATAAACAAATATGAACGAACGAATCAAAAATAATTCTGCAGTTTTTAATTTGTGCAAAAAAAAAAATATATATAATTTTTTTTTGTGAGAAAAACACACTATTTAAAAAATATATAGGGTTATCTCTTTTTATAATTTATTTATTTATTATATGGATTTACAATGTTATGATACTACTATAATTAATATGTTCATAAATTTTTATAATATCGTTGACTTTTCAGTCATTTGTAGGAAATTGTTTTTTTTTGTAATAGGGGAATTAATTAATAAAGCCTTAAGTATTATAAAATAAGCAATGAAATAAAAAAAAATTATATATATAACAAATCTGATTGGTTACATAATTAAGATTTTCCGATTTAGAGAATCAGGAGTTTTCAATAATATTTTGATCATAATTTTTAAAAGGGAAAAAGTAGATTCAAAAAAGGGGGAAAATAAAAAATTTAAATAATAACAACTCCGCAGAGAAATGATCATCATTTCTTTTTTAAAAAAAATCTAATTAAATAAAATACAAAAATGGCTTACCAATTATAATGCTTTATCTTTTTTGATAAGTGTTGGTTTGTTAAATATTGTATGAATAAATGCGCCTAAAATTTTATTATATCTTCGAATTAATAAAAATATTCTTCGCGTCTTAAATAATTTTAAAACTTACCTATATGATAAATTCCTGTACATAAAGCAAAACAAGTGAAATAAAAACCAATACGTTGTTGAGTTTCCAATTTAGATAAAATCGGATAAGGCCAAGTACCATAATTAACAAAATAAAATTGTATCCAAACAGCATAAGAGAAAGCAAATAAAAGTAAATAAAATATATGTGAATGAGATTTTCTAAATTCCTTTGCGAAAAATAAAAAATCTGTCCACAAGCAGACTGCTGGAATTAAATGAAATCCCAAATCAATTAATATTGGTAATCTACATCATCAAGAAAAAAGGAAGAAAAATGGATTAGAAAAAAAAAAAATGATTATAAAGAAAGGTGTAAATATATTAATACCTTGGTTTATCCAATAATAACGTTTCATCGTAAATTATCAAACCCCAATATAAAATAGAAATCAATCCTTCCAATGGTACGGTAACAACCATAAACCAAGTCTTCAAGAAAGATATCACTAAATAATAAATATTTGTATGTATGTATGTGTTTGTATTTTACCTTTAATTGTTTTCTATAAAGACAGTTGCGATAGTTATGATATGTATTTACCTTTAACAGTAGAGAATAGATCATATAGTAGCGCAAAAACAAAAGCAACCAAGGAAAAAAGTAATCCAACTATCGTCAAGTGCTAAAAAAAATATATTGTTAATGTGCGAATAATTCAAGGTTTAATAAAATACATACTGTAAATTGAAAAATCATATTCTCGTATCTGTTTAAGGAGGGTAATATAGCAAAAGAATAAGTGAAAGAAGCGATTCCAAGTGCGTGAAGGATAAGTTGATATATTTTACTCATTTTTTTTTTTTTTTT